AAAATATTCATCCACCTGCCATACAATTCAATAGATATCTGTCAATAGCATTCTCTCAATGCTATTCTATAGTATAAATAGGTTTATCTAGCCATACAATCAAATAAATGCCTACAATTAGTCAATGTGCAAAATATAAGAGAATACAAAATGCTCAGCAATAAAAAGAGGTGTGTATACCATACCCACTACTCCTTAGGCTCAGGAATCATCACAGAAGAGGGGGCAGAAAGAATGTAAGAACCAGACATTTTTGGTGGCTACAAAAATAATGTCTCCTAGGTGCAACAAGGCAGCTGCACATAAATGCACAGAAGTAGGAACACACCCAAGATCTGTTCCAGTTTAAGCTAGGCCAAATCCCAACATGGAGTACGGAAGTGGAATAAAGTTCCACCCCTAAGGAGCTATTGTTAATTGATATTGTTGCAACAGTTTTCTTTAAAGAGTATAGCCCCTAGTTAAGTCAACCATCACTCTCCAGTGGACAAGGTCACACATCCAAAAATGTATGGAACATATAAATTGCATGTGATAGATGAAAAAGAAAAGACACAACACGGAGAGGATACGGAGGGGAAGATGGATCAGGGAGGAATTGGGAAGAAGTATGTAAAAATGAAAATGATCAAATGGTTCTACTGTTAAATTTTCGTGGATAATCTGTTATTTTTTAAACATGATTTATTGTTATAGATAGATAGATAGATAGATAGATAGATAGATAGATAGATAAAATACTGTTCATATGTATGCATGCATACATATGTGTGTTCCTTCAGAGGTCAGAAGAAGGCATTGGATGTTCTCAAGATTGAATTTACAAGCAGTTGTGAGTTACCATGTGAGTTCTGAGAGATAAATTTTGGTCCTTTGCAAAGGGAGCCACTGTTCTAATGGTTCACATCTTCAGCCCTGGAGAATCTGTTTGTATTCTTTCCACATGAAGGGGGCAACAGCAATCAAAGAACAGTTCCATTTATATTCAGCTTGATGAGTCAATGTTTACTGGGGTTATCTTCAGAGGCATGAGTGACTGAAAGGCAGCTATATGATATAATAGCCGATCTTGACATAAGTGACTCCACACAAAAGCTGTGTCCCTGCAGTTCCTTGTACAACTGGCAGGCCATCACATCACAGAAGAGGATACTCCTTTTAGTAGCTGATTATAAACCTGGGAAGGGGACCTATGAGTCTTCTCAATTTTATGAGCTCCCCAGTGTTGTGAGTTTCATTTAGCTGGTAAGCATTCCTCTTCCTTCTAGGAGGGAAGTATTAGATCAGGAGTTAACAGCAAAACAACGACACTAACATATCAAATCAAGATCTCCTGAGTAAATCGGGAGTGTGGGTAGCAGGCAGAGGTTGGAAGAAGAGAGGGGAGGAAGAAAGGCATGTGGGAAAAATGTATAGCTCAAAATAATAAGAAAAAGCCACCAATCAACATGGAAGGCCATCGGCAAGTATCACAAATATTTTCTATTCGATACTGTAGCAAATTAACATACAGGGAAAGCTGATCAACCTGGATGGAGGTTATGGCTCTAAAAAAAGGGGGTTTGTGATATACCATTTTCATGGTGATGTAAATGTTATACATCTTGACTGTGGTATTAGTATGTGAAGTTTCAGGTTTAATTTACCAGCTTACATACCCATCAATCTATGTACTTAACCTAAATGCATTTTTATATAATTAAATTGTACCTCAAAAAATAAAGCATAATTAAAAAATTTAGAAAATGAAAGCTTAATAAATGAGTCAACTCATTATTTAAAGTTTTGTTTTGTGTTGTTGATATGTGTGTCTGAGGGTATGAGAACATGCTTGTGGATGCCCGCAAAGGCCGGAAGTGGATCTCCTGGTGATGGAGGTGTACATGGATGTGAGCTGCCAATGTGGTTGGTGGGAACTGTATTATCTTTTCTGCCAGAACAGCAAAACTCAGAAGAACCCTCTCCAGCCCTTTCACTTAAAAAAACAAAAAACAACAATAACACACACACACACACACACACACACACACACACTCATTTACAGTATATTTTCCCTTTGATTCTTAGCATAACTTTCTGGTCCTAATTGCATGTCAAGATTCTTATAACCACTGGAAAGGTATGAAGTTGTATCATGTTTCTTCAAGAACTTTTACACTTAGATTTGTTTTGCTTCTTGTAAAATTCAGTATTTTCTAATAAATTTTACTGTGACTAATGTTGTAACTGACACCTTTAAGAGATCATTGATAAAAAAAACTGACTTATAAAGCTCTATCAATACAGAGAAATATCTGAGGGGTTTTGTATTATAACATCATATTCCAAACTTTGGTGAATCTGAACAAAATGAGCAGATACAGGGTTGGGACCAAGGTCTATTCAGTAAAGTAGCTGTTGTGGAGGCATGGGGACCTGTTCATATTTTCCAAATCCTTGTAAAAATCCAAGAATGGTGTGTGCACCTGTAAATCCAGTACTGAGTGTGTTGAGCCTGAAGAATACTTGATGCTGGGCAGCCAGTTTAATTGAGTCAGTGAGCTCCAAGTTCCATGAGAGACTCTGGCTGCCACATATAATCTACATAGACATATGCATATCCACCTGAATATACATGTGTATGACTATATGTGAGCATGTGCACACAGTACACAACCTGAAATACACATTGAATATAGCCCTTATCAAAATTTAGATATAAAATTCTACTGAATTTTATTTATTCTGTCTGTCAAGATGGCTCAGCAGGTAAAAACACTTTCTGGGAATCCTGACAACCTGAGTTTGACTCCCCAGAACACACAAAGTGGAAATAGAAAACAGATTCTTGAAAGTTGTCCTCTGACATGTGTGGCGGACTTCTCGACAGGCGACGAAGAATGACTACCACACCAGGATTCCACTCAGATCATGCTTTACTGGAGTGCCCTTGATTGATGGGGAGCAGGGAACGAGAGGGTGGGAAAACGAGGGACAAGGAGCGAAGGGGCAGGGAGCGAAGGGGAGAGGCAGCAGGAAGCGAAGGGGCCAGGGGGCACTTAGGCAGCAGCTTAAATAGGGAATTGGCACACGGGTCGCCCTGTGATTGGCTGACACCAACAGCTGACACCAGACCGCATCGGGATAGGCTCAAGGATCCTCATCCACCGTGCATGCGGGGAGCAGGGGACATGCAGCTCTCAAAGGCATAGCCAAATATGGAGTTGTTAATAAGCAACAAGACAGGATGTCGGCACCATCTTGTAATGGCGATCCTGTCCGGCTCAATACAGACATGCACAAATGCTCCTGAGCTACATAGAGACACTTCTGTCAAAAATATTACTTCATTGCTGTGGTTTTCCTTCCAAAGACCCAACCTTATTTTAACTAAGAGAAACCCAATATAAGGACATTCCATGAAATATCAGATCACTACTTTTCAAAGTTGTCCATGTCTCTGAAAAACAAGAAAGTCTAATAAAATAGCTCAATAGAACCTATGAATCCAGCATAAATAAATATAGCATGGCTTTCTACGTGGATTCCTTCATTAGAAGGACATTAATTTAAAAATATTATTCAAATGTTTAATATATACTTTTTTATTGGCAACTCATTTGGCTGTATTTTATAATGGTGACAGGGAAAACTGCTGTGGGGCAAAGGCCTTGTACCTATAAAGATTTGTCACTTGTATTGATTTAATAAAATGCTGATTGACTAGTAGTCACACAGGAAGTATAGGCAGGGTGGCCAGAATAGAAGAATTCTGGGAAAAGGAAAGGCTCAGTGTGCAGTTGTCACCCAGATGAAGAAGAAGCAAGATGAGAATGCCTCATTGATAAAAGGTACCAAGCCACATGGCTAATACAGACAAGAATTATGAGTTAATTTAAAATGTAAGAGTTAATAAGAAGCCTGAGCTAATAGTTTATAATTAATGTAGGCCTCAGTGTGTTTCTTAGAGACTGAATGACTGCAGGATCAGGAGGGACAGAAAATTCTTTCAACAGAAAACTGAATACGGGAAACGTAAGAATGCTTCAGTGTTCTATGTTTTTCTATACACTTCAACTCTTTTTCCAAAACTTAAATGTTTAATATATATTTTGTTTAAATATATAAAATGTTCAGTATATATATATATATATATATATATATATATATATATATATATATGGAGGTGGTAGTGAAAGCATTTCCTCTAAAGTCAGAACAATAATGTGTCCACTATCTCCAAAATTATTGAATATAATACTCGAATTAGACAATCAGAAGAAATGAAAGGCACACAAACAGGGAAAGAAGTTGAATTATTTATTCATAGATGGCATGATTCTGTACAAACAAAATTTAAATACACTACCAAGTGCTTGTTAGAATTGATTGATATGTATGAATGAACTGAACTATAGAAGTAAAAGACCTCATAAATATAAATTACAAGACTATTAGTAAAGATTATGAAAAAGACCCTCTAACATGGAAAATATTCCATGTTCATAGATAGGAAAATATTGTTAAAATGGTTTTGCTACCCCAGAATCTATATGATACAGTTGTCATCAAAATATCAATGATTGTTTTCAAAGAACTAGAAAACACAGTCCAATTAATTTACCAGAATCCAAAAAAGCAAAGCTGGAGGCACTATAATGACTAATGCCAAGATATACTACAGAGATATAACAACAAAACCAGCACAGTGCTTGGTATCAAATCAGATACACCATTGAACACATCAGAATAGAGTACCCAATGTAAACCCATGCTTCTTCAATCAACTGATTCTCATATATATATATATATATATATATATATATATATATATATATATAATGATTTTCTAGAGAGGATCCCAAAAATCTAAGATACAAAACAAAATTTGAAAAGTGTAACTATGTACAACCCAGGAACTCTGATATATCAAGGAATTCATCTGATATGGAGTTAAATATCCAAACTGTTTAAAGAACTCGAAATCTAGCTACATACAAAAGAATGTAACACTTTTTAAAATGAGCACATATATCAGAATTAAAAAAATATTACAGGCCAAACAGTGGGGCTGGACACAGGGTCGGTGGCCAAAAAAGAGTGCAGAATTTTTGCTGCACATGCTGAAAAATGCAGAGAGCAATGCTGAACTGAAGGGTTTAGATGTGGACTCTCTGGTCATTGAGCACATCCAGGTGAACAAAGCACCTAAGATGCGCCGACGAACTTACAGAGCTCATGGCCGGATTAACCCATACATGAGCTCCCCCTGCCACATCGAAATGATCCTCACTGAAAAGGAACAGATTGTTCCAAAGCCAGAAGAGGAGGTTGCACAGAAGAAAAAGATATCCCAGAAGAAACTGAAGAAACAAAAACTTATGGCACGGGAATAAATTCAATATGAAATAAATGCAGATAAAAGTAAAAAAAAAATAAAATAAAATAAAAAAAAAATAAAAAATATTACAAAATAATTTCTTTGTAACTCTCAATATGTATTACTCTCATTAGTAATAAAGAAATGATTGTTTAATAGTTAGGCAGGATTTTTGGTGCAGAGAAAACACTGGAAAGAAGGGTAGTGCCAAATGTGAGGCAATGTTGAGATAAAGACGTTAACTTGCCATACTGAAAAAAGGTATCAAGCATTGTAGCAGAGCATAGATTAAAAAAATTTAGGTTAATTTAAAATATAAAAGTTAGCTATACAAGCCTGAGCTATTGACTGAGCATTTATAATTAATAATAATTCTCACTGTGGTTATTTGGGAACTGGCTGGAGAAACAAAAAATTCTGTCTACATATGGCACCAATCAAGGGGCACCCATATCCATGTAAAACCTGAGAAAACTTCAAAAGGGTTCTAAACACACAAAACAAAGTCAAATGCAGATTTCTACTCTCATGTCTCTCTTGCCAAACACAGTATAGAGATGTATCTCCTAGCAAGTTCTGCCAAAGTGAGCCTCATTATCACAGTAATTCACATAATGGGTTCAAATTTTGTTCATGAAGTCAGGAAAGATTACAGATATCCAGTAAAGACAGATCCAGATGGAACAAACCTGTAAATAAGTTACAGTATATTTAAAATGGTACAGTGGCTTGGGCGAGAAAAGAGAAATGTATGCATTGTACATACAGTCATAGAAAAAAGTTTAAAATAATAAAATAAAGTATTTAAAGAAAGAATAAAATAATGTAAAGGAAAAAGCTGCACAAAGATGGAAAATATATGGGAGTTTGGATCTGTATGTTACTGTCTTGTCTTTAAATTTTCTGATTGCTGATGAAAGAATGACACATTGGATTATGGAAACTTCTGGATTAAAACAATCTACATATTTTATAAATGTTTTGACTTCAAAATGGAAGTCAAGTGATAGGTTGCTTTGGGGAAAAGATTATGCTTCTATTTCCACAGAAAATGAGAGGCTGTGGATTAATTCCATGTTGATATGGATCAGGTTTGATCAGAGAAGATCCCCTAAAAATCCTGGCTACAGACATAAAGAAATAGACCTGTAAAACTGAAAAATATATATTTACCTGCTAAAACATAAAACAAAAATTCTCTTTGCTAACTTGTGTACAATACACAGTCTATGCTTGTATTAATGTATATGTGTATGCTACCTTTAAAAGTTTATGCATTTTTGGAACAAGAAAATGGGAATGAAAATAAAAATAGGTGGGGCATGTGATCAAGCATCTCAAAACTTTTCTGTAAAAGTCTCTTCAGACTTCTGCATTCAGAACAGCTTCAAGACTGTTGGCTGAGATGGTTCAAACTCATAAACTACTCCAGTCAAGTCTAAACAATTATCCCAATTTTCTCAGGGTTCTCCCAAAGATATCAGTGCCCAGAAACAGCAGTAAGTAGTCTTGAGAACAATGCCCACATTTGCAAGAGAAAGGGTATTGGCAGGTTTTGGTTATTCAATGGACCACGGATGCTTGTCATTGGTTTGGGGGTTTGTTAAAAGTTGTTATTAGTCATAGTAAGAAAAAGAGCTCAAGAAAAGAGTTAAATTCAAAGATCTCTTTCTGAAGAAAAAACTGGGAAACAATATAGAAATGATGAAATACAGGGGTAGGTTAATGGATCTATTTTAATCCAAAAAACAACATTTAATCTCAAAATATTTTATACTGGCATGGATTTTGGTTTATTGGTACAAAATTGAAGTTAATCTTGTTACTTTGCATGTATGTTTCTACTATTGTTTAGGGTATTGTGCTTATGAAGTTCATTTAAAAATGTAATGCATAATAAAGAAATTCAGATTAGTATTTAAGCATCTATTAACATCAAACTTGTAGTCATGTTAGGTATATTTTCAAGATCAAACAGGAGTATATTTTAAATAGACAGGCAGTCTTCAAACACTTCAGAGATCTATCGAATATGACATTTAAGATGTTTTAATAATATAATTTTTTTTATAAAAATGAGAAATGAATGTTCTTAGCAACACCAATCTACTTCAAAAAAGATGATCAGTATCAAAGAAACTCCACATGGAGTTTACATTCTTGTGGCAAAAGTTAGACACTGGGCTAAAAACTATCCTTGTCTCAACTGGTGACAGTGTACTATCCAAATTGGTCAAGCAGGCACAAAAGAAAACAACTGAACTTTGCAAGACAAGGACAGTCCTTCAAAATTCCTGTTTCACAGAAATGTCTATCAAATATACTAGGCCTTTAGGCCAAAGATGGTTGCTTCAATATTACAGAAGTAGTGATATTTCATTTGTATTTTAAAAAGTAAAGCTTGCCCGAAAACCAGAGAGTAAAACAGCCCCACTGGTCAGCCTTACAGACAAGGCAATGGTGACACACACCATAATCCCAGTAGCCATGCTAGTTTGCTATATAAACCGGACAGTAGTGGTGCACACCATTAATCCCAGCACTAGAGAGGAATATAAGACAGGACTAGATAGTTCTTCGAGGCAGGACCATCATTTAGGACTGGGGTAGCATTAAGAGCCAGTGGCTAATCATTTTGCTTTTCTGACCTTCAAGTTGAACCTCAATTTCTGACTCTTGAGTTTTTATTAATCATGCTACACAAAGGAACTTTGGTTGCAGAGCTCTACTGTAAAGTCTAGTGGTTTGAGTTCAAAAGGAATAATGTGATGTGGGAGGGTCTCCTGTTTTGTGTTGATTTCATTGGTTAATAAAGAAACTGCCTTGGCCATTTGATAGGCAAGCCCTTAGGTGGGTGGAGTAGACAGAACAGAATGTTGGGAGGAAGAGGGAAGTGAGGCAATGTCCATGCCTCTCCTTTCTGGGGCAGACGCAATGGAGCCAGCCGCCAGGTCAGAGATGCTGAATCTTTCCCTGTAAGCCACCACTTTGTGGTGCTACACAGATTATTAGAAATGGGTTCATCAAGATATGAAAGTTAGCCAAGAAGAGGATAAATATAATGAACCAGGCAATGTTTAAAAGAATACAACTTGTCAGTTCCTGCGAGTTTCTTCCTGCTCTCTGCATCTGGCCTCTGGCCTCTGGCCTCTAGCCACTTCCCTCGTGTCATGGCCCTGAAACAGCAATCTGCGCTTCTGCCTCAGTCCAAGAAACCCAAATTGGCTCCTTCCCCAAAACTGGAGGACAAGTCTGCCTCTCCTGGCCTGCCGAAGGGAGAAAAAAAGAAATTGAACACAATGATGAAGTACAAAATGAAATAGACAGACTTAATGAACTAGCAAGTGAGGAAATACTAAAAGTAGAACAAAAATATAACAAACTCCGCCAATTGTTTTTTCAGAAGAGGTCAGAATTGATCGCTAAAATTTCACATTTTTGGGTAACCACATTTGTCAACCATCCACAAGTGTCTGCACTGCTTGGGGAGGAAGACAAAGAGGCTCTGCATTATTTAACCAGAGTTGAAGTAACAGAATTTGAAGACATTAAATCAGGTTACAGAATAGATTTTTATTTTGATGAAAATCCCTACTTCGAAAATAAAGTTCTCTCCAAAGAATTTCATCTGAATGAGAGTGGTGACCCATCCTCAAAGTCCACTGAAATCAAATGGAAATCTGGAAAGGATTTGACAAAATGCTCGAGTCAAACACAGAATAAGGCCAGCAGGAAGAGACAACATGAAGAGCCAGAGAGCTTCTTTACCTGGTTTACTGACCACTCTGATGCAGGTGCAGATTAGTTAGGAGAAGTCATCAAAGATGACATTTGGCCAAACCCCTTGCAGTATTATTTGGTTCCTGATATGGACCATGAAGAGGGAGAGGCAGAAGATGATGATGATAATGATGACGAAGAAGAAGGCTTGGAAGATATTGATGAAGAAGGAGATGAAGGTGAAGAAGATGAAGATGATGATGAAGGGGAAGAAGGAGAGGAGGATGAAGGCAAGGATGACTAGCACAGAAGACTGATGAATTCCAACTCTCTTTTTTATTTTATTTTTAGTTTTTAAATTTCTCCAGCACCTGGGAGCAAGTTGCAGTCATTTCCCTCCCATCCTCAATCCCTCTTGTGCTCAGTCGCCTTGTTTCTGAGGTCTCGCTTCTCAATACCGTGGTTCTCAACTTATTTTTGGAGAAATGTCTTGAGCAAAATACAATGGGAAAAGAATCTCCACTACTCTGTTCTACATTCATTTTTATCTTTTCTTGTCTTGAACTGTGGATTCAACACCACCACCACCGTGCTCTGTGGGAAAAAAGAAAAGCCCTCCAGCCCCTTTGGCTCTGCTGGAGGCTGGGGGGTGCTAGGCCCCTGTGTAGTAGTGCATAGAATTCTAGCTTTTTTCCTTTCTCTGTGTATTGGGTTCAGAGATTACACTTTGTCTATGTGAATACAGACAGTTAGCATTTACCAACATGTATCTGTCTACTTTTTCTTGTTTAATAAAAAAAAGAAAAAAGAAAAAAGGGGGGGTTAGAAGGTCAGCAAGGGTAGGTTTGAGGTGTCTGGGGGGGGTAAGTGGGCATTGTGACCACATGGCTTCTCCTTTGGCATGTTTAATTCTGATGTTAACAGACGTCCTTGCAGTTTAAGATGACACTTTTAAAATAAAATTCTCTCCTAACAATGACTCGAGCCCTAACACTCAATGGGAGAATCAGCAGAGCCTATAGGAGTTTATTTGGAGTTCACATTCTCTGTTGTAACTTTATTTTTAATTTTTTTTTAATTTTAGTTTTTTGGTTTCACTGGAAGAAAAAGATGCTCATTTTAAATGTTGAAGTGTACAAATTGCTTTGTTACAATAAAACCAATGTGTACATACACACACACAAAAAAAGAATACAACTTGTGTGTTGTTATTTTGGGGCAAAAGCTAGCCTGTGGCTGGGAGCTGGGAGGTGGTAAGCGGCCCACAGCTCCTTCTACAATTATGCACTTAAAAATTTGTCAGGGGGAAGACT